ATGGACCTGTAATATGCACCCCTCGTTAAGAACTATACTTTGAATTGGTATTCTGACTACAGTTGCACGCTAAAATTCAGCAATGGGAGAGTTTATACAAAAACGCAAAAATGTTACTTGCTGTTCTTTTTTTTGCTCGCTATAGCGCCGATTTCTCTTCTTCGCGAGGCTTCACCTTTCTTAGAAAAGACTTTTTCACTAGTTTTACGGTTCTCCCTCTGCTAAGTCAAGTGCCACAACCACGAAAGCCCTCTTGAGTTGATGTCACCCAACTTACACTCCTTATCCCTGAGCCAGAGTAGGCGTGGCATTTGAACATGGCACGGAACTGGTTACTCGTGGAATATTCCAGTCTGGGACAACTGTCATCTTGTTCTGTGTTGGACAGAGACACGACAACAGTTGTGTCAAGATGGAAATATTCCACCAGAAGCATAGACACCTTCAGGTTAAGTTGAAGAATGCAGCCCCGCCTACCCGATCTCAGGGATCTCGAGTATATATACAGTCCATGAAATCTAAACCATCGATAGTTCACCTTTATCTGGACAGGCAAGGTGCGCTCGACAACATTAAAATCCGACCACTTCACCTGCCTTTCTACCGACCAAAAGAACACAGCGATGTTGAAATCTCGATGCGAATTTCTGACGAGTTTCAGTAATGGTTTGACTTGATCACGCCGCTTTCATACCTTGCAGATCGCAAGGAAAGTCGGCATTTTGGGAAAAAATTGACGTTCTAGCGGAATCGTTTCAGGAGAATTTTTCTCTCATTCTTTTTTTTCTTTTTCCAAGCACTTTTCGCACAGGTGACTACCACACGACTTTCATGATCAATCCTTCTGGAGTAAGGTTTCGTGTTACGTTTGATGATCTAGGCTCAAACTATTTCATTTGTTTTTCCTTGTTTTTTTCATTATTTTCATCTTTCTTTCCATATCTATCCTAATGTGTGATGTAGCGCGTCTTTTGGCGCGGTTCAGTGAATAAGCAAATAAACAGTTAGAATCGGCGTTTTTGGGAATACGCGTGAAAGAAAACGTAGATATCGATGTACCCTCACGAAAGCTGCATAAAACAACATTAGACTGGAAAGCGAATGCCCGCTATATTTCTCACCAAGCGTCACATTGAGAGTTCGCACAGCAAGGGGCAAAGCGAGCGGTTATTCGAATGACAACCTCCACCCGGCATCGAGGGTCTCTATGACTCACAGGCTGACATTTTACTGCATTTATATCGACAGGCCGCCACTCAATTCAGTCCACATCAAGGAAACCATGGGTACCGAGCGACGGCTAACCTTTTAAGAACAAGCTGTCACTCCCCATTTTCATGATTGAAATGATTTTCGACCATTTATGGCAATAAGTCTATTACATGAAACATCAAGCTGGTGTGTGTTGGATCGACATCAAGTGTGCACGTGAGTTTATCCGTTCGCAATCTACTCAAATTAAGATGCTTGAAAGGATGAAACGACCGCTCGCAAAACGAGATTAAAATCAGGTTTTGCAGTACCACTTTA